GCTTTGTCGCTATAATGAAGCAGCATTAAAACAATAAAATATAATAATGTTAATAATTATGATTGGGGATGTTTGTAAGTGATGTTTATTTGAAATTTGGGATTTTTGGGACCTCTGGCTTACTGAGGCAGGTATTCAATTAAATTTAAATGTGTGTTTTTGAGTCTTTTTGCTTGTATAGATTCCAGGGCATCCTAATTTCATACCACAGCAAACCTTGAGCACGAACATATAAAGCTACTCGCAAATTTACAACTTTAAACCCTTCAGCCTTTCTGATATCAGACATTATTAATGAATGAACCCCACATCATCAATAAATGAAGACTAAAATTCAATTCACTTACCCTGAAAGTGCTGTTAGCAAAAATATTTACAATGTAATTAACATCAACTCATCATAACACCATATAACAGTAATAATAATAAATACTTACATTGAAAGCAATAAATGGATGTTGTTATTAGTATTTTATCGAAAATGACGCATACATACAAAATTATCCATTATTAAAATTAATGATTTGTAATTATAATATTATTTTTTATTTGACATTGATATGATTGTGAAATGAAACTAATTATTAAGAGGAAAATTTTTTTATTACACATACAAATGTAGCACATGTCCATTTATTGCCTATATGAACATCATTGGTCATTAAATTTAAGAAGGGTATTTACTCGCACAACTAAAACTATCATTAATTCAAAATTATGATATCACATAGCAAAAGCATTTTCCATTCTCAACTTGACATTACTGTACTTCCAATATCAATTAAGTAAATAAATGTCGATTAAGGTTGATGATATAATGTTATGATGCCTTCATTGCTTGATGCTTTTTGATAAAAATTGATTTTTCTTTTTTATCGTTGCATGAAAAATTGATTGAGCTTGGCAAAGAAATTTGTTTACTGTTTTGAATGTTATCAAGGATTATGCAGTAGATGTTGAGGATTTCCTGATTTTTATGTGATGCTTTCTTTATTGGATTATCGAATGGAGTAGTTGGTGTATTGAGTGACATGTTGGGATATAAAATAGTTTGGAAAAATGCATAATGGATGGTGAATTATTGGGGATCAAATATATTTTGTAGATGCAGTATTGTGGGGGTGCATTCTGTGTAGGGGTGGTGTAAAAAAAATATGCAGGGATTTGAGATTCTTTCATGAAAAATCTTAACAATAATAATAATAATAATAATAATGTGAGAGGGTTCCAGCCAAGCAATATGTTACTAGACGTTGCGAGGAGCCGGAGGCACTGCGATGCTGAAAGAATCTATTGTTCCATTGAAAAATCTTAGAAAATTAAAAATTCTTCTTTTTAATACCCATGCCCCCTCCCCCCTGCTAAGGTTCTAATTACCACAACTTCCAATAAAGTGAGAACTGTGGTGTCCTTTGAATGAGAATAAAGCTCCTTAATCTGATTAGAATCAGAAGCCATGAACAAATTTTTATTCAATGTCCTATCTCAATTCATAACAAAGTTCATATAGCATGATTACAAAGATTCCATTTCCAAAAATCATAACAATTTAAACTTATTGCACCCCCACCCCCCTGTAAAATCCGATTTCCTTCATTTTAAATCATGAATTATTTAACATTCATAGAATTTTCATGAAACAGCTTAGTACAGCAAATAAGTACTTAAATATTCACAAAAAAATAGACACTATTTGCTGGATTTCACATCACAAACACATCATTTAAGATTATTTTATATTTCTTCAATTTGCTCTTTATATTTGCCATAACATTTATGGATAAACATTCATTCATGGAAAGGAGAGAAAAATAATTCTAGTATATATGTTGAGCATAATGCCATATTACTGTAGGAATATGACTGTATTTACACAACCAGAAATATAAAAAGATACTAAAAATGGATGAAAATTTTGAATCGAAGATCAAATAAATCGATTGAAAATTCTTCTTCGCTTTACAAATTCTCTTTTCAATCTTTCGTAGACGATGGGAAAAAATTGCAAATTGAATGGTTTCGAAATACTGAAGTAAAATAATTTTGCAGCTTTGTATTGAAAACTTTTTTATTCATATTGAGATCAATGTCCGCATTTTTTTTCTCTACAGTTATTACATGCAATAAAAAGTTTGAAAAATTGAAAATCGTCAAAAATAGAAAATGAAGCAATGACTGGAAGGCTATCAGTTGGGTTAATTTATATGAATAAGAAATTCGACATGAGCACCAAATGTCATTAACTTGCACAACAAAGGTGAATGACGAAAAATTTTCATTCTCTTTGACTCTATTCTTCAACTGACTCCGAGTTGCACAGCTTAGTCGTCAGGACACTGACAAGTCACTATGTCAACAGCAAAACATTACAGACTTCTAGACAGTTGCATTCCACACCTGCATCGTCGACAAAAAGAAGCTTAAACAGTTGCCACGGAGCCGTTGAGACATTCCCTCATTTTTATATTCTGATACTTCATAAGTGTGCTGAAGTATACCACTGTCACTAGTAGTGTGCCACTCGGGAACACAAACACCTTCACTTGATACTTTCAATGCTGATAAAAGTTTCATTTGAGCTAAAATTGTTGGTGTAATTGAGGGGTAGATGCTTGAAACTTTTAATCTTAAAGTTGTTGTTGAACGTTCGCTTTGTCAATAAGTGCTGTAAAAGTTCAGGAATGGGAGAAAAAGGTTAAGAACTGTAAATGAAAGAAGTTTTAAGATTTAAACGATTACATGTAATGTATTCAGGTGTCGATTTTCCAAATGAATGGGAGCTGTTTGATGATGAAGGCGATGTCTGGACAGAATTAAGAGTTTAATGATGACATTTGACTGAATAGATTGGATTTGATTGAGCTTGAAGTGGTTTATTGTTGGAATTTTGTTTTTATTGTGGATCAAAGATGCAGTTTACTTGGCACTGGCTCTTATCTAGCTAATTGAACATTACGACATTTTTCCTTGCCCCTCATTAATACAAGACCGTCAGATACCAGCTGCATCAATAATTCGTAAGAAACATGTCCTAGACAGAAAATTACTAACGATGATGCTTGTTACAGTATAAAATGCTGCAAATTCTTAAATATGTTTGATATTAAACCTCCTAACACTCTTTCCATCTCAAAATATTTCAGTTGTCACGATTATAAACTGTCCTTAAAATAATTCATCCTCACTTCCACATTTTAACATTAATTACAATCATTTATAACCCCAACAGCAAAATTTTCATTTTTGTCTCCTCCAAAAATAGAATTAAACTCCATAACAATAAATTGTCAACGCTAAGGAAGTAAATGCTTAAATTTCTCTCAAAAATTTTTCAATTAAAGCACGAATGAATTTTCACTTGTATCCTTTCGAAAGGAAAATTATCTTTTAAACGATTTAATTCATTTAATGCCATTTTATTCTTCCTTTTTACTATATTATCGTCTTCTACGTATATATAATGCTATTCCCTTTCACATTAAGCATGAATGGGTGAAAACCGCTGTAAACCGACTGTTAAACGTTATTTCGTGATAAATCGCCATAAATTCATTCGCGTTTTTTCCGTACTTTTTTCTGTTGTTAATATTGAAAGGAATTTTACAATAGAAACAAAACGAATAATAACAAAAAAATAAACTGAAAACAGCTTTACGGCATAAATTTTTCAGAAAGAGTATAATTCAATTATATTTACCTTTTTACTCAACATCAATTTTTGTCGAATAGAGAAATGGGAAAATAAAAAAGTAAATTGTATGGTGAGTTATTTGCACGATATTTAAATAAAGGTTGATGTTGGAGGTTTTGATGACATGTGTCTAGAGCGCATTTATCGGGTTTTGTTGATCAAGTGAGGCATAAACTAACTCTGTCCATTTAATGAAAGCCATACAGAGTTTGGTGAATGAAAAATTCTATTATATGATGTATCATACAACACTAGACACCCCCAACCCCTCCTTTAATTAAGGAGATTCAAGTTAATAGGAAGCCACACTTGAAATCGAATTGATGCTGCCATCACATTTGATTGGCTCTGAAGAAGAAGACAATTCAACAGTAGGGCTAATAACAAATGTACTGAAAAATTGGGAAACATTTTGGGCATGAAATTAAGTCTGTTCTGCACTATAAATTTAGCTTGAATCCTTTCCAACTGCAAGACTCCAGATGCACCCCCTCTAAAATTTGAATATTCTTTAAGTTTTTGAATTAAATCAAAATTGTTACCAAAATAAATTCAAAATGAAGTTTGCTTCCTTAGCAAAGATTAAAAATCCACAAACTTCTACTACACCAAGCTCCCAAAAAGACCATCCATACCCAAACATTTGCACTTTTTCTGACACATCAAATTGTCCAAAAAGAGGACAATGAAAACCAGCAGAAAAAAAAAATCATTTACCGATGTTCTTTCTGTGCATGTACAGCGCGTGAATAATGTATTATGTGGAAATTGAATGACGCGATGAATTGAAAATCAGAAATTTAAATTCCTTTTTTGTGTACGTATGTCCTCCTTTACTACTAAGTTGACAGCATTGCGAACATAGAATTATATAAATTTTTAGTCTTGTCCTTTAAATCCAATGCGTGATTCATAGCACGTTCGGATGATTCGAAAAAATCGCAATAATTTTCTAGCAGTAACACTTTTCATCGCTATAAAATAAAGCTACATCTGGAGTATCCAAAATAATCTCTATAAAACCCCTCAATTCATTCATCCTCATTCACAGCTTTGGGGACTGACTGGAAATGATGTCTAACATTGATAATATAATGGCGGATGAGGAAACGGGTTTAAGGTTTGATATAAAGCAATTTAAGAAAGAAAATGAGGATGGATGGACCAAACGTTATTAATAAACGACCCCCAATTCAATTCGATTCTCAAACTGTCCAATTGAGAGAGAAAAAAAAATTGATGCTGTAGAATTATTGCGGGCTGTAAGATGAGAAAGAGAGGAAAAAAGTAATTTTCAGATAATTTAATCCATGTGTGTGCTACAGAACTTAAAGCTCACTAGAAAAAAAAATTATTGTGTGAGAGAAAGGTTTGATCATCCATGAAATAGAATAACCTACTTGTGAATCAATTTAATAGATGCTCATGAAGCCATGCACATATGAAAAAAAATTCTCTTTTCATTTTTTTTCTGTTCCATCTGTGTATGTCCTTCTTTTTTATTGTTTGAGCAATGGATATGGGAAAAAAATTATGTGTTCTGAATATTTGTGTCCCAATCGTTTGTTGAATGATTGAAAAGGAAAAATCATATAAATATATGAGAAAAATTTCAATGACCAGCCTTTGAGCAGTTTTGTCGTCACAATGATGATGTAATATCCCTTCCGGAAAAATTTAATATAATACGCAACATAAATAAAATATATAGAGCAGCAGCCTCATGTCATTATTAAATGCATGAGGACATGTAAGTCGTGAATTGTGAATTTTTTATTGAATTTATAGTAAAACTTTGAGTTTTAATGCTTTCAAAAGTTTTTCTTTTTTCCTGGCACTTGCACCTTCAATGATGATCTGCAAAGTATTCAAGTATTGTTCTTGAAGGTCTCTCAAATTGTCCCATAACTCATCGTTCGGATTCCTTCCATTAATTGTATCATTAATCCACCTCAAATAAGATGAAACTCTAGTGAAACCTACAGGATATCCACGTGTACATCCAGATTGTGCAAAAAATGATATAATTCCTTCAAGCCTGTTGACGCCGTTTGTAACGATGGAGAATGGACCACCTTAAGAATATTAAAGAATTGCAATGATAAACAGTGACTATATTAACGACCCTACTTATAATGAATGTCTAGTTGGATTGTCTGACAAAACTTGAGGTAGATGGAAGGATGATTGAGGTATTGTCCTATCTTAAGGCCACATTAACTTAACTTTTGGATAACGGAGGGCGCGGGAGATGACACGCAACTGAAGTGATATACACAAAATTTCAAAGACCTTACCATTATCACCGCCACATGCACTAGCTGTTGCATTTGCTTCTGCACAAATATGTGTATCATCTATAGCACCAACCACATAATACGCAGAACATCGTACATTAGTGATTACTCTCAAAGAATTTTGTTTCAGAACGTTAGATGCATAAGATGAGTTGTCAGAAGTTTGACCAAATCCACTCTTAGGTAAATTAAATAATTCAAAAATTTAAAATGTGAACAACTTATTTAATTAAATCGAATACTCACAATAGAACCTAAAAAGTCAACTAGATTAACGGGTTGAGTTGGAAGTTGAATCATCCCAACATAAGGTTTGCTTAATAAATCGTTTGGAGCATTTACAAGATTTACCAAAGCAATATCATTTCTCAGTGCACTTGCATTATATTGTGGATGAACATGCATATCTGAATGTGAGGCTGCTGTGCCCCATGTAGCTGGTCCTGAGATATTTACAATTCCTGTATAAATATTAAAGTTATTGGCATCTCTATCTATACAAAAAGCTGCCTGAAATACAAATATTACTGATTATAAAGTAAAATAAATAAGAAACTTAAAACTTACTGTCAGAACCCATTTTGGATTAATTATTGATCCCCCACAAATATAAACTACAAAAATAAGAAACAATTGACATTTTCAAAATGGAAACAGTCATCAAAAAGTCAATTTACCTATATCTTGTGGAAAGATAATAAACATTAGCGCAAAATGAGGGATATCTCCTGGTGCTGCAGGTGTTCCACCAATGATGAATGGATCTTTTTCAGTTTCTAAAATATTTGGATATAATCTTTGCCATAGTTCTTTATATTTTGGATGTTCACTCAAAGGTTTTGCGTTCCTATATTTTTCGGGTATTTCAACATCACAACTTACAATTGTAATTATTGCAAGTGCTACAAAGTATTTCAGATTGAGCATTTTGCTTTGAGTTCCTTAGTAAGGTTGGATTAATACTGAAAAATAATATCAACATGCTATTGAATTTAAACGATTATGTGTTGTTATATTAAATTAGTAGAAAAAATAAAGCAATAAAGGAAGGAGTATTGAGTGATAATTGATAAACAAAATGTATAAAATGCACCTATTGATATAAAGTTTCGAGGAAAAGGCAATTAAGTCCTTATCTTCATTGTCAATTTTAATTCAGATAAACGATTGAAGCTATTAAATCCTTACTTAATTAATCTTAAGTAGCTAATTTCTACAATGACCCAATTTAGATTATGTGAATATCATAATTGTTATTAAAACTTGGGAAGTCCCAAAGAAATCCCCTTTTTTATCAAGAATCATAAGGATGTGAATAATAAAATATTCAAGTTTATCAATGTTCACGTGTCTGAAGTAGACCTAATACTATTAACTTATTTATACTTCAAGGACAGGTTGGATCATTCAGAAATAAAAGAAGATATTTGGAGTTGAGAAAAAAGGGCATAAATTTGATGGTGGTATCAACGGAATGAACCTAGTTTTGAGGTTTAAAAGGTAAAAATGTCGTGATCATTGTGTGAATTCTTGACATATCGACAACACTCTGTATAATTGGTTGATCGATATCTGGTGGGAATCAAACTCATTTCCTCACATAAGATGGTCTGTTGCTTAACCACTCGTGCCTCAGAGGCTCTATTCTCGCACTGGCAGATTCGCCTATATATGTCTCAATACCCTAGATTAAACTTGGTGGTTTCTGCGCACTTTAAAAGGAAGACATTAGGAAAAACTCGAATGTAAACTATGGACAATTCTCTGAAACCTAAGCAGATGACCAGTTAACTTATAGTTTAACGTATAATTTCTATGAGTGCTGTAATTTTCATTAATAAGTAACTAGCATAATACAACAATTTAAATGTACGACTATTTTTATTGATGTCAATGAAAAAACATTTTTAAGTTTGTATTTCACTTAACTATTTAGTTTTCATCGTGTACTAAAGAGTTGGAACCTTCAATAATATTTTGTAGAGTAACCAGATATTGCTCCTGTAGGTCTCTCAAAATGTCCCATGGGTCTTCTGGATTACGTCCAGCAATTACATCATCAATCCATCCCAAGAAGGATGAAACTCTAGTAAAACCAACAGGTTGTCCATGTTCACATCCAGCACTTGAGTAAAATGATGTGACTCCCTCAAGCCTATTGACACCGTTTGTAACAATTGAGAATGGGCCACCTTTAGATTTTAAATAAAGAAATTAATTCAACCTTTAATCCATGAAAAGTGATTCTTAATATTCAATTACCCATGTCACTGCTACAAGTGCTGACTGTGCCATTTGTTTCAGCACACATATCTGAATCAACGATTGTACCAGGTCTAAAATACATTGCGCAAACTGTGTTGGTAATGACTCTCAAAGAACCATATCGTAAATCATTTGAGGCATATGTTGCATTCTCGTTTGTAATTCCAAATCCACTCTATAAATTTTAATCCATATTATGGAAGGATAACTAATTTGACAAATGAGTAACTCACAATAGAACCAAGCAAACCAACTAAATTGACAGCTACCGTTGGAAGTTCAATTATACCGGTGTATGGGTAGCTAAGCAGATTGTCTGGAGCTTCAATAAGTTTAACCATAGCTATATTATTCATGATAAAATCTTCGTTATATTGTGGATGGATATGAGTGTCTGCATGATTTACTCTTGTTCCCCATGCAGCAGGTCCTGTGATGTTAACGATTCCTGTGTAAAGATCAAAGTATATAGCTACTTTGTCTATACAAAATGCTGACTGTAATATAAATTAAAGATTTTTATTAAAACATTTGGATTTCAAAAGAAAATCGAAACTCACTGTCAAGACCCAATCTCTACGAATTAATGATCCTCCACAGACGTAAGCTAGTTTTTGCGTAATATTTTAGATTTAAAGTTCTTAAAAAGTTAAATTAGATTTTAAATTCTTACCTGTATTGTTAGGATAGATTTCAAGCATTAACACGAAATGAGGAAACTGTCCACGCACTGCTGGTGATCCACCAATAATAAAAGGATCATGTTCAGATTTTACAACATCTGTTGTTATCTGCTGCATTTTCTCTTGAAATTTCGGATGTTGGCTCATAGGTTTGGCATTCCAATATTCTTGTGGTACGTAAACATCACAACTCACAATCGAAATTGCTGCGAGAACTAGGAAATATCTTAAGTTCAACATTCTTACTAATGGTTGGATCAAGACTGAAAATAAATTCAATTTACTATTGAATTTATAAGAAGTGATATGGAAAGGAATAAAGATCAATAAGTGTTGATTGATAAACAAAATGTGCAATTTTTATACCCAATGTTATTCAATTGTGTCAATTTTAACAAGTTCCACAAGTTCGAAGAAAATATCATAAATTCCTTATCTTCACGGTCATATTTAACACAGATAATAGCTAAAAGGTATCAATTTTTTGCTACTCTTAAGTAGCTAATTTCGATTTTAAAGTATTCGGCTGCTCATACTATGGGGAATCCCCTTTATTACAACAATTCAATTAGTTTATCACCAAAATAGAAGGCAAAACGCACAAGCTTCTTAATTATTATTTAAAATAATTTAATTTTATTCAAATGATGGTTCAAATGTGGTTCTCAACTTTTAAATATTTAAAATTTAACCATGATAATTTCTCCCAATCTTCAAAGAATCTTGCAAAATTTTCTTGATATCATCCCTATTGTCATGTTCTGTTGATGGTGGTAATGTTGTTGTTGTTGTTGTTCCTTCATTAATATTGTTGTAAATCCAATTAAGGTACGATGTAACTCTAGTAAAACCCACTGGAACTTCAAGCTGACAACCACCTGATGCACCGAATGAAGTAACTCCTTCAAGTATATTAACGCCATCGATGTTGAATATGTATGAGCCACCTGAATCGCCACCGCAAGTGCTAGCTTGTGCATTAGTTGCTGCACACAAATTTGTTTCATGCACAAGCCCTGGTACATAATATGAAGCACAAACTTGATTAGTGATTGCTCTTAAGGTATTGAATTTTAAAACATTAGAAATGCTTGTCGATCTGTCTGATTCCCGTCCAAATCCGATCTAATAGAAAAATTAATTGCATCAAGGCATGACAATAATGGCCAGAAATATAAAATACTTACAATAGTCCCAGTACGTTGAACAAGATTAGTAATTTTACTAGGAAGTGCAATTGGTGAGACGAATGGATCAAGGAACAAATTTTCTGGAGCATCAACAAGTTTAATCATGGCAATATCATTCATTAATGTTAAATCATTGTATTCGCGATGAAGAAAAACATCTCTTGGATATACTGTTGCGTTCCATGAAACTGGACCCGATATATTAATAACTCCTAAGTAAATTTCAAAGTATTGAGCTCCACCAAAGACGCAGTGACCAGCCTGAAAATAAAAGTTTATTGAAAATGATGTGACTGTCTAGGCAGCAGTCGAATAAAATTAAGATGTGAAATATTTACTGTTAAAATCCAATTTCGATGAATTATTGAGCCACCACATAGGTACGCTAGAGTTATTTAAAAGAAAATACCAAATCAGCACTTGAATTATCAACAATTTACAGTCTTTTTAATGATAATTTTTATAAAATATTCCAAAAAAAAGAAAATTTTTGTAAAGAGAGCTACATAAAGTTGGCATCTTACTGTCACCATTTGAATACACGATAAATATTAAAGCATGATGAGGAAATTGACCAAGTTCTGCAGGTTGTCCACCAACGATCAAGGAGTTTAGTTCAATATTGTTACTCAAGTTTTCTCGTAACTGAAGTCCTTGATACAGTAGCGTCCAAAAGTTTAGAAACAGTCTCAATTTTGTTGAATTTTATCAAATAAACATACTTAAACATAAGCAAATAAGCTCAAATTTTCACCAGCTGTGTAGTTTTTGCTATATTTTAATTTAATAAGAACTTTTTGTACTATAATTAAGTATTTCAAAAATAACCGTTAAAATTCAAAATGGTTGTCGTCCAAAAGTTTAGAAACGATTTTATAATAATTTTTTTTGAAGCTTTATACTTAATTTATTTATAATTTATGGCTCAAAACATAAAATTTGGACTTTATTCTTTGTTTTAACACAAAAAAGTATGTTCAAATCGGTTCCTTTCATGCTTTATTTTTGATTTCAAAATGGCTGACATTTTTATATGATATTAACAAAAATTAATACTTTAATCAAACTTTTTTCTTAAGTTTAAATGCTTATTGCATAGTTTTTTACAATATCTTTCAGAAAATATATAGTTTATTATGTTTTGTTAAGTTTAGAAGTCAAAATTTAAAAAAAATACTTTTTTGGAGAGAAAAATTCGCTGCTTAGAAAAGTTCGAGATAATTTAATTCATTAAATACCAACAAACCATTCCATATTTTGGTACCAATTTATTGCATTTCAATTCTCCTTTACGTTTTTGTATGATTTCCTTAACATACTTCAAGGATCAAAGTTTTATTTAACTATTCTTTATCCTACAACAGACAACCTTGAACGACACAAAATGTTTTTGCAAAAAATTTCTTATTTCTATAATTAATTGGACATGTTTTGTTTAATTCATCAATAGAATGTTGTTTTAATGCATTTTAGTCATTTTGCAATAAAATTCATAGTAAATTTCAACTTTATTTTTGCAAAAACATTTTGTGTCGTTCAAGGTTGTCTGTTGTAGGATAAAGAATAGTTAAATAAAACTTTGATCCTTGAAGTATGTTAAGGAAATCATACAAAAACGTAAAGGAGAATTGAAATGCAATAAATTGGTACCAAAATATGGAATAGTTTGTTGGTATTTAATGAATTAAATTATCTCGAACTTTTCTAAGCAGCGAATTTTTCTCTCCAAAAAAGTATTTTTTTTAAATTTTGACTTCTAAACTTAACAAAACATAATAAACTATATATTTTCTGAAAGTTATTGTAAAAAACTATGCAATAAGCATTTAAACTTAAGAAAAAAGTTTGATTAAAGTATTA